CGTCCAGGGCAGGGGCCTCTGGCCTGCGGCAAGCGCCCGGGCTCCGCAGCTCTTCCTCTTGGTGGAAGCTAGCTGGCCGCGCGTGCGGCAGGCAGTTGCGGGAGGAAAGGGGTCGTGCAGAGACGTAGTTCCTGCGCAGGACAAGCGGGGAGAGCTGGTGCCCGATGCTTTAGAGCACATGAACTACGTGCTTTGCGGCAGGAACAGCTGGATGGAATCGCCCAGCGCCTTGGTGCTGTGGGTTGGCAATGGTTGTGACCGCCAGTACCCCACCTTCTCTTTCCACCAGTCCAGCCTCGCATCTCCACCCGCTCTCAAACCCCGGCCTTGGGCGACAGTGCGTGAGCGTTGCTGTCTCTTCGCGCTGAACCGCAGGTAAGACGGGTAGGGTCGGCTCTCCGGCTCCTGGCTGCTGTTCCTACTTTTCGCAGCTAGTCCACAGCCCCTTCCCAACTGAGGGCAGAGGCAACCTTGTGAAGCAGGAGGTTAGGGCCTGGCCAGCCTCTGGACAAGTGGGAGAGGCCTGTCATTATGAAGATCCGAGACTCTGGCCTAACCACGGCGCCTGGGCACAGTAAGAAAATGCTGTCCGATTCTGGATGAGATCAAGCAGGGGTTGGGGTGGAGGTGGTGGTGGTTGCGTTTGTTAAAAGGACTGGATTTTTTCTTTTTTTCTTTTCTCCTTTTTCCTAGCAGTGCTGAAGACTGAACCCGGGCCCTGGCTCAGCCTTGCTAGACAAGTGTTCAATGCCTGAGCATGCTCCACGCATGCTTTTGATAGAACCGATAATCTCTGAACTCAGCCTAGGGAGCGGGGGATCCAAAAGACTTCCTCCATTAACCTCCTACCCACTGTGTTCTCTTTATTCAGTGGCCTCACTAACTCTGCAGAGCATACTGCTTCTTCCATTTTTCGTAAATGTAAAACCTTGCTACCTTTTGAGCACTTCTCCAATTCTTTATTCAAAGGAATCTGCAAAGAATTGCTACAAGGAGCCCAGTAATCTTTTTTAAAGACAGTCTCACTATGCAGTTCAAGCTGGCCTTGAACTCCACATAGACTAGGTTGGTCTCAAACTTGCAGCAATTTTCCTGCCTCAGCCTCCCAAGTGCTGACCAGTAAAGTTTAAAGGCCCCTCAGTCCACATTTCTCTTTATTCTCTTTCTCATTGAAGATTGTTTAGGCCCCACATTAAATATGGGGTTGAGGAGAGAACACTGGATCCCCAAATCCCTTTTAAGGCCACACTGCCCAAACACTTCTTTCCACTAGCCCTCATGTTTTAAGAGCTCCACCACTTCCCTGTAGCACCACAAGCTGGTTTCCAAGCCTTTGGAGTATGGGCCTGTGGGGGACATTTTACATCAAAACCATAGCAAGCCATAAGGTCGCTCAGTGTAATGTCAATTGAAATAGGTCCCTGGAAATCCATGAGAGGTATATTAGGTAGAATGGTCCATGAGTCTGGGTTTCCTGAGGTTGCTCATATTTATGGGCTCCTCTTTGAAGTGTTATCTAATGAGGGAGCTGAGTCTGAGTTTTCTCATATAGATTGGGGACCATTTAGTTGAGTCTGGGCTATGCTAATGGCAAAAGTAAACCCACATGGGTACAACTGGACCTTCCTTAGCTAAAGCTACATCACCTGGAGATGGTCCAATGGTTCCTGAGCTGACTCTGGGTCCTCTGATTTATGCAGGATTCCCCTGGGTTGGGAAGCTGGTCCCCTGAGCTCATTATGGATCCTATGCACCAAATGGATTATTTACAGTATATCTTGGTTCCATGATATTTGAATAAGTCTTTTCCCCTCAGGAGGAACTTGTGTTCCCAGAGGGAACTGTTCAAAGTTGGCAGGTCTCACTGTGCTTTGGATTGTCAGGAGCCCGTGAACTGAATCTGTGCACAGTGATATGTGGTATGTATGCAGTCTAATGAGATGGTTTTGAGACCTCATGAGGTACATCAGGTATCTTCTCTGTGCATGGGCCCACTGATTAGAGTTACCCCCACCCAAGTTCTGATGTAGGACTGTTGGAGCATGACCACACAAAGTCTGAAGTGAGCCTGGATACCTTGAGATGAGACTTTTTCCATTAATTTGGCCTTGGTTCCTCTGAGTTATATTTGGGGCCTTGATGTAGATTATATGAGGGTGATTTCATGACCAATGTGGTGTGCCTAGGATCTCCTGTGGTGGTGCATTTTCCCTGAACTGCTTTCTCTGAGGTATTACTGGAGACTCATGACATGTCTTGCGTGTGTGTGTGTGTGTGTGTGTGTGTGTATGTGTTTACGCAGATGCATGTATATTGTTTGGACACATAGACAGGTTATGGTGTTCAAAGGTGATTCTCTAGATCCTTTAGCTGTGTCTGGGTCTTCTTATATGAGTCTAGGATTCTCTGAGGTAAGTTTAAGAACTCCGGAGGTGGGTCTTTGCCCAACCTTTTAAATTAACATCTCATGAGCCGATTTATGGCCACTCTGGAGGTTCTCTTAAAACCTGATGTGGTCACTGTTGGCTGTGGATTTTTGAGGAGACTGTGTGTCCCTCATTAATCAGATATTTGGGCTGATTTTGGAGATCTCTAGGAATGTAAGTATTGATTAAGAAAGTTTTTCAGACTTCTCAATTAATGTGGTACAGAGTTAACATCACTGGGATACTTTTTAGTACAATCATATAGAAATGGGGTTATCGAATGCAGTTCTAGTCCTCCTGACCTGATTTCAAATACTATGAGAGAAGCGTGTGTCCACTTATATGACTCTAACCTTAATATATATGCCCTGATGCTATGATAGAAGGCATCCTTGCTTTATTCCTGATTTTAGAGAGAAAGCTTTTAGTTTTTTTAGTATGACCATGTTAGCTCTTATTTTTAGCTTGATTGCTTTTATGAGTTTGAGATAAAAACTTACAATTTTATGTAGAACTTTTATCATGAACATTTGTTGAATTTGGTCAAAGCTGTTTTTCTGTCTCTTCTGTGATGGTCAGGTGGCTTTTGACCTTGGTTCTGTTAATGTGGTATGCTACATTTATTGATTTACATATGTTGAACCATCCTTGTATCCCTGGGAGGAGTCCTACACACTCATGGTGGGATAAACTTTCTGATGATTTGCTACATTCTGTTTGCCAATATCTTACTGAGAAATTTTGCATCTATGTTCATTAGGTCCTGTAGTTCTCTTTTTTCAGTTAGGTCCTTCTCTGGCTTTGATATCAGGGACAAACTTGCTTCAAGGAATGAGTTTGGGAGTATTGTTTGTCTTCCAATTTCATTGAAGAGTTTGAGGAGTAGTGGCATTGGATCATCTCTAAATTTCTTGTAGAATTCATCAGTGAATCCATCAGGACCTGGGATGTTCCTTTTGGTATGTTTTTAACTACTTCTTCAATGTCATTGCTTTATTGGGTTATTTAGAATTTTTATATTTTCCTGAATCAGCTTTGGTTAGTCACATGTAACTTGCCCGTTGTATTTGTCTTCGATCTTGTTGTAGTACTAGTTCTCAAAGTAGATACTCATGATTTATGTAGGATTTGTTGTGACTTTACCCTTTTTCTTCCTAAAGGCATGGATCTCAGTCTTTTCTTTCCCTTTTGATAAGTTTGACTAAAGTTGTGTCTACTCTCTTTAATCTTTCAAAGAAACAATTCTTCATTTCATTGATTCTCTGTTTTGTTTTCTTAGTCACAATTGTATTAATTTCTCCTCTGGCCTTTATATTCCCTCCCCCACATGAGCTTCAGCTTGAATTGCTCCTCTTTTTCCAGAAGCTTGAGATTAGGTGCACAATTAGGTTCTTCATTTGCACTCACTATGTTTTTGTGATGAGTAAATTCACAGCCATAGATATCCTTTGTAGGACTGCTTCCATGGTGGCTTATAAATTCTGGTATGTTGCATTGACATTATCATTTCACTTCAGAAACTGCCTAATTTATTCAATTTTATCTATGATCACTGGTTGTTTAAGAGGATATCATTTAATTTTCCTGTGTTGGTGCAATTTTTGTGGTTTCTTTTGCCATTGATTTCCATTTCATTGCACTGTGACTTGATAATATGCGTGGGATAATTTCAATTCCTTTGTATTAACTTAAGCATATTGGATGAGCTGGTAGGTGTTTTATTTTGGAAAAGTGCCATGGGCTGGTGAGAAAAATTTGTATTCTCTTAATGTGTGGTAGAATACTCTGCAGATATTAACTAAGTCCATTTGTTCACATTGATTTTTTAGTCTAGTTCATTAGTCTATTTGTGGCCGTGATACTGCAGTCTCCCATTACAATTGTATTAGTGCTCATGTGATTTTTCATATCCACTAATGTTTTTATTATGTAGTTGGTGGACATGTATTTCTTGTGTATATATTTATGATTATTATCTCTTACCCTGGGAATGACCCCTTAACAAGCATTATTGATTTTTTTCTCTTCTGATCAGTTTTGGCATGAAATCCACCTCACCTCTCATGCAAAAAGAATAGCTTCCCAAAAGATTCCTAGGTTCCTGTCTACATGGAGTATTGTTTTCCATCCTTTGACTTTCTATGAATTTCTTTTCAAGTTACATTGTTTTTGTATGCAACATATTGTTAGATCTTGTTTCATTTGTATTAATATTATAGGTACTCTTTTGATATGCATATTTATCACATTTATCAGAGAGAATTTTCCCAGTATGTAATAGATCTTATTTCTTGATCCACTCTACCAATCTGGGTTTTTTTTAATTCATTAATTGAGACCATTTACATAGATGGTTATAACTGATATGTACTGATTGATCCTTATCATATTATTTTTCTATTGTCAATTCCCTTTCTTTCCCCTCTGTTTAATTGCTTGTCATGATTGGTGGATTTGTTCATTGTTGTCCTTGTTTTGTTTTTCTAGGATGCCCTTCAAAATATTTTGGAGTGCTGGTTTATGGTCACAAATTTCTTCAGGTATCCTTTATTGTGGAAATATCTAATTTTTTCAAAAGCCCTCAAAGGTAATTTTGCAGGGTACATTAATCTGGGTTGAAGATTGTTGTCTCTCAGGACTGGAAATACTGTAATCCTAACTATCCTTGACTTAAGTGTTTGTGTTGATAAGTTTGCAGTGATTCTGATGGGATTTCTTTTGTAGGGAATTTGTTTTTTCTTGAGTGCCTTTAACAATTCTGTTCTTGTGCTGAATTTCTGGAATATTGAGTAGTATATATATTTTTTCTGATTATGGCTAATCGGATTTCTCTCTGCATCATTTTATCTGTATGTCAAATTCTTTTTAAATGCGTTGTAATTTTTCTGCCATTTCCTCTGTGAACAGATTTTTTTAAATGTCCTTTGTGCTTACTCCTGATTTCTTTTTGATTCTTATCAAACTTACGTTATTCTTCTTTACAATGTCTAGCAGCTATTGGATTGAGTTTTCTTGGTCCCTTGCTATTACTATAAAGTCTTTCTTTTGATGATTGCTAACCCAAATACATCTTCTAGATCTGATATTCTGTTCTCAAATTGGTTGATTTTGTTGTATATATTCTCGGAAGCCCTTTTAATCTCCTGGATGTTTGAATCTGTATTGTGGAATTCAGTTCTTTCTTATGTTGGGCCATCATGAATTTCATCGCTTTTCTAAGCTTTTCAATTTTCCTTCATCTATATCTAGTCTTTCACTAGCCATGTCTTTCACTGTGGTCATCATCTCTTTTGTTTTTTCAGTACCTGTTTCCAGCTGTTTTTTATTGTGGAGATTTATTTGTCTCCTTTGTTACTTCCACAGCTACCATTTTAGAAAGTTCAGCTGGGCAGCTGTTGACTTCTTCCACCTCAGTGCCCCCTGGGCTTTCCTTGGTGAGCTAGAAGGTCTGCATCTTGTTTCTTTGTTTTCTCTTTTTCTATTCTTTTTGAAATTTATTTTCTAGGTTGATGCTTGTAAATTGGTAGGTACGTAATTTTGTTACCAGTACTGAGCCCGTCTTACATAGATTCTATTTCAGAGAAGTGTTCATGGGGTACTTGACTTTGGCTTTTGAGTCTGTTCCCCAGGTCCTGCCAAAGAGGCAGAGATGAGAAGTTTCTATTTGGCTGAGAACCCACTTGTTTGGTGTTAAATTATGATACCATTTATGATCTCCAGACAATCTCAGTATTATCATACAAAATATCATACAAAGTGACATTGTGATCACTATCAGTACAAAAGTAATGAAAATAGCATTAAGCAAAGTACAGAAAACGACAATCTGTGGTCCCTTCATTTGTTAACTTTTCTTTTATGTACCAGACTTATATGTAACAAAAATTTAAAACAAATCAGAAAATTATACATAGTGAATATCCCCTCACTAGGGCAATTTTACTTTCAGGAGAGAAATTTTAAAAGAGATAAGAAAAAGATAGAGAAACTTTAAAAAAAAGAGAGAGAAAAATTAGGAGCAAGGGTGATGGACAAAGGAAGATTACCCAAGCCTTGGAAACCTGGTGAAGAAGCTAGATGGGATTTTTTTTCTTTTAAAGGAAAAGGTAAAACAAGAACTAAATAAAATGAAAAAGCTCAAAAACAATATTCACACTTAACAAAAACAAACAGAAGAAAATGACTTATAAAATGACAAAATTAAAAAGGATTTCCCTGTGATTGTAAGCCTCTAGTTATCTTTGGGAGTCTACAGGCTTGTTGACAGTGTCCAATTTAAGGTGTGCCTTCACTGTCACTGCTAGGGAAAGGAGACAGAGCCCAGATCTCTGCTGGATAATCACAGAAAGCCTGCAGTAAGGGTGCTGTACCTGGTGCATGCAGATCCATCAAAGTTCAGGCTGATTTTGGCCTCTCATTATGAAGTTGGGGCCTGAGTTTTCAGCTTACAACACTTTGCATGTCCTTTAACTATGTGATCTTAACTCCCTAGACCTAGGTGTCTTCTGTGGTTAAGGGTCACTCAGTTACTGGAACCCTTGAGATGAAGGTAAGTCATGTCTGCTCTGAGTCCTGGGTTCAGTGTGAACTTCTGTAATATGACAAGTGGCCAAGCACCGTTGCAGGGGACAATTACAATGGACTCACTTAGCAGCTGCTGTAACTCAAGGCACCCGCTGTGCCAGATTCCCCTGTGCATTT